GGCGGGGTCAGCGGGCCGGGGGCGCCGGAGCCTCGGGAGGCAAGGGCGGCGGGGCTGGGGGCGCGGACCCGCCGCCTCCCCTCCAGGGTCCGGGCGGCCCGGCTGCGCTCGCGCTCACCTACCGGCAGGCGGCCGAGGGCCGGGGCTAGGGTGCGGCACCGCCAAGTTTGCCGCCTCCTCCGGGCTCTCCTCCGGGCTCTCCTCCGGGTCCACGCTCGGTCCTGCGGCTGCAGCCGACTGCGGCGGGGACTGCGCGGGCGCGAGGAGAGGCCGGGCCCGCAGGGCGCTCGGGAGAGGGCGCCGGGCCGCCGGGCGCCGCACAAAACCCCCTTTCTTCCCCCCGCCCCCGCCCCCGTCCCGCCCCTCCCCTCCCCTCCCCGGGGCCGCCCCCGCCCCCTGGCCGGGGACGCGGGGGGCTCGGGCAGGTCACGCGACCCGCTGCTTCCTCTGCGTCCGTTCCCGGCGGCGGCAGCGAGAGCAAGGACGTGCGAAGTAGGACATGGTTCTGGGGAGGAGAGGCCGGGGACGGGGGGGGGGGGGGGAGGGCAGAGGGGCGGGGAGGGAGGGCTCGCGGAGCTGGAGCAGGATGTTGCAGCGGGAGGGATGGGCGTTAGACTGCCGGCGGGACTTCCCGCGGGCAAGGGGCGAGGAGGAGGGACTCAGACCTGCACAGTAAGGGAAGGGATGACGGGAGCGTAAAAGGGGGAGGGGCGCTCATTCGGAGGCAGGAAGAGGTGCAAACGACCACGACCAAGGCCACCTCCCTGTCGGAAGCTCTGATTGGGTCCCGTCTACGGGGTGCTCCCACCGCCTGCGCGGAGGAGGGGCTGACTTTGCAGCTGGAGGGACGGAGGTTAGACAGCAGACTCGCGGGTTAAGCCGGGCAAGTCAGGGGCTCTCTAGACGGGCTGTGGGGGAGCGACAGCACGGTGCGTGGACACACAGGTCATGCCAACCAATGTGCGAACCCCCCGGCGTTGCCGGGAGCCCACAGGGCCCCCTGAGCGGGGCTGTGGCTGATGAATGTGCAGCCTGGTGCCAGGGGGTGGGCCTCGAGTGCTGCCCAGCCGTGGGGGATTCCTCGGAATACCAATGATGCCCCCTCCCCGTCTCCAGGGCCTCCTCTTTCCTCTGCTTTCCCAGGCTCTCTCTGCTCCTCCCTCTCTCTCTTCCCCCCTCCCTCCCAGGACTAGAAGCAGAGCCCCTGGCACGGACCGTGGGCAGGACAGCCAGATGCCTGGATTCCTTCTCCTGGACACCAGTGGTGGCACCAGGGATAGCTTGTTGCGGGGGGGGGGGGGGAAGGGGTTGATCCCCATCATCTCCAGCAGCACCCCCAAAATATCCCCAGTAACGTGGGGTGCCTGCAATGCGAATCAGCCTCAGGACAGGTGTCTGTCCTTCCATTTAGACTGCACCCAAGTCCCTCCTTCCTGTGCTGGAATCTGGACTGCCCTCTGCTGATGCCGCAGCTGCCCCAGTCACCACTGCCTGGAGTCTACGCCCAGTGCCGTAGACTTGGTTCCAAAGGGCTTTCGAGAAGCTCACAAAAAACTGCTCCCTGAATCCTTGAGGATCTAAAGGTAGAATTCGGGCCCCTCCCTGGACGCCCATCTCCTGTAGAGACAGGACAGGAACACCTGGGGGTGGTGGGTGGGAGGGTCCTTTAGTAAGAGAAATGACCCAGGCAGGGATGTGAGTCTGGAGAGGACAGAATAGGTAGGTGCCTGACAGAGTCTGGGGAGGGAGAGACCTCCGTTTATTCATTTCATTAAATAAATATTAACTGAATGTCCTCTATGGACCATGGACCATTTTAGGACCGAGTCCTCCGGTGGAGAGGGGGGATCTGGCCTTGGGGCAGATCCGGGCAGCGCCAGGCAGCCCTAGGCTCCCTCTGCCCCCCTCAGGCCTTGCAAGCCCGAGCCGAAGGATATCCCGCCTCCCCCAGGGCAGCCTCAGCACGGGGGCATGCATCCAGCCTGTCCCCACAAGTGCCTGCTCAGCTTCACATGGGGCTTGAGTCCAGCCAGGCGGGGCCAGGCAACCAAGGGGCTGAAATTCAATCTCAGTGGTGGTTTGTGCGTAACTACGGCTCTTTGCCGCGGGGAAACCTGGCTGTGATGGAGGAAGAGAGAAAGTGACCTTTCTTGCCATCTCCCCTCATGACTAGAAGTGCGGACACACGTTTTGGTGTCTCCTGGGGGAGTCCAACCTTGACCGAGGCCAGCAGCCTCTGGGTCTGGACCAGGGCTGGTAGCAGACAGTCTGTTCCAAGAGGCAGACCCCTGGTGGGAAACCAGACGCGGTGCGAGAACAGGCAGCCGCTGCCGAGCAGACTGACGAGGGCCAGGCCTCCGCAGGCGTGGGCACCGAGGTCAGACCCCCGGCTGGCCATTTGCGGCAGCCAGACCTCTGGACGGGCTTCGTTCCTCAAACCGTTTCCTGTTCTGAACGGGCCGCATAGTATCTATGGCACTGGGTAAAGACTACCGCCCCTGGCCACGGATGAGCTCAGCAATATCTAGTTCCTTTCCTTTGCTAGCCACACACGTGCACACACACACACACACACACACACACACACACCGTAATCTGCACCGATCTACTGGCCAGGAGGTTGGGAGGCCACTCCCCTGTGGATGGGATGGAAGGCTCATGGTTATTTGAGAAAGGAGTCCTTCCTGAGGATTGCCCAGGGGAGGAAATGAAGGCCTCCCCACATTTCCAGCGCTGAAGATCCACGCTGAAGTCTAACCAGCACCTGCCGATCAGGGGCTTTCTTTACTATCTTTACTAGCATCTTGTCCCTGGCCACACGATCCCCCCCCCCCCCGACTTCTGTCCCTTTCTGAGAAGAGGCAAGAACCAAGACCCCCTCGAGGTCTCCGAAAGGGACCCTCAGGGACTGGCTGAGAGCAGGAGGGTCGACAGAGGCAGGAGGAATTAAAGTGAGATTTCAGGGAGAACTTCCTGCCCCAGTAACAGAAAGAGAAGGTGTCAGGAAGTCGTCGTACCTTCTGGACAAGGAAACACACCCAGAGGTGAAGCGACTGCCTCGGGTCACACAGCATGCGATTGGCTGACCGTGGCTAAATGCAAGCCTTCTGACGGATGCCCAGGCCAGGGTTCTCCCCCAGGCCCCAGCTGTCTCTCAGAGGACAGAAATGGTGCAGGCAGAGAGAGAGAAAGAGAGAGGGAGGGAGAGCGAGGCCTCCCAGCCTCCTGGGCCCTGGGGACTTTTCCAGTCTCTCTGGATGAGAACAATCCATCTCCTGCCTCTCCCCCTCCCCCTCCCCTGACATCCCCTCCCCTCCCCTCCCCCCCTCCAGGCCAATGCTGAGGCCGTGACCCAAGTTGAAGAAACAGAGCTCCCCCCAGTATTAGCCCCCAGCCTTCCTCAGGGGACTCCCTGCCACGGTGGCCCCTGCAGCCCCTTGGGCACCTGGCCCCACTTTCCCAGGCTTGGAGGTGGGGCCCGGGCAGCTCAGTTCCTCCCCAGGCCCTGCAAGGCTTAGAGGCACCTGGGCCCTCTGCCGTGGGGACGCGGGACAGGGGCTGTGCACACGCACTCCGGACGCTGGCACAGCTGTGCTGGGAGAATGGGGGCTTTGATAACTTCTGAAAGGGGCCAGGAAGCACGGGACCCCAGCCCAGACGGGGGAGCGGCCAGCAGTGTTCTGATGGTTCCTGCAGCTGAGGGCCGGGGGGCGGGGTGCCAGGGCAGGCGGGGTGGCGAGGGGGCAGCAGTGGGACCTACAGGCTGAACAGCATCTTGGGAGAGCCCTTGAGCAGGAGCGGACAGATCTCCACCCGGAGGGGAGCAAAGTCCTGTGTTCAGAGGGGACCACCAGACTGTTCCCCAAAGAGCAGCGGAAGGGACTGGAGAGATGGACCCTGAGACCATCCAGAGCTGCTTCTAGAGAAAGGGGTCCCGTAGGCAGAGTCCTCACAGCCCCTCTCCCTGCTCCTGCTGGTGAGAGATTGTTCACTTTTCTGTGGTGCTGGGGCAACACTCGTGTCTGTGGGCCTCAGTTTCTTCACCTGTAAAATGGTAACAGCATCCTGTTTATGGTTTTGACATTGGTGCCACATAAACAATTTATACAATCGAAACATAAAAGCAGGGCACCTGGGTGGCGCAGTCAGTTAAGCATCTGACTCGTGATTTTGGCTCATGTCATGATCTCACGGTGTGTTGGGATCGAGCCCCGATCCGGGCTCTGTGCTGACAGCATGGAACCTGCTTGGGATTCTATCTCCCTCTCTCTCTGTGTGCCCCCCCCCCCACCGTCTGTGAAAATAAATAAACTTTAAAAACACATAAAATTAAATTTGAAATAATTAAATTAATTTTGGATTAAATTAAAAGGAACACAGGGATGCAATCCCTATAAATCTGAAACAAAGTGGGGGCACCTGGGTGGCTCAGTGGGTTAAGCGTCCGACTTCAGCTCGGGTCACGATCTCGCGGTCCGGGAGTTCGAGCCCTGCGTCGGTCTCTGGGCTGATGGCTCAGAGCCTGGAGCCCGCTTCCGATTCTGTGTCTCCCTCTCTCTCTGCCCCTCCCCTGTTCATGCTCTGTCTCTGTCTCAAAAATAAATAAAACGTTAAAAAAATTTTTAAAAAAATCACCATTAAAAAAATAAAAACATAAAATTAAATTTGAAATAATTTAATTAATTTTTGATTAAATTAAAAGGAACACAGGGATGCAATCCCTATAAATCTGAAACAAAGTGGGGGTACCTGGGTGGCTCAGGCGGTTAAGCATCCGACTCTTGTCGGACCCAAGCTGGTTTGACTCAGGTTATGATCTCATGGTTCATGGGATCCAGTCCTGTGCTGACAGTGTGGAGCCTGCTTCGGATTCTCTCTCCTTCTTTCTGCCCCTCCCTGCCCCAAAACAAATAAATAAACTTAAAAAAATAAATAAAACAAAGTGAAACAAGTGTGCATAATTGTGCATAAAAGATGACATTGGAGGCAAAGCCACGTGGGAGAATTTTCTTTCAAGTGACTATAAAACGCACCATTTTGACTATTCATCCCTCAGGACAAAAAGAACCACGAAGAAATCATAATGTTGGCATTGTTGTTTCAAAATGCATTATTTCTCTTAAGAAAGCAAATAAGTAATGATGGTAACGGTGTTCGGAACTAGGAGTTTCAGTGCGAGAAAAGGAAAGTCAAGCAAAACTGCCAATGTTTTCTGTGAATTGGAAATAACAGCACGAACTCGCGATTTGTACGGACAGCTCCCGTCGGCTGAAAAGGCGGAGCAACAGTGACCGCCCAGTAACACTGCGTGGCCCCGGTGGCCAGACTGTGGTCTCTAAAGAGCACTCTCCACTCACAGGAACCAGGCCTCCTGGACGCATTCCAGTCAGGGACAGGATAGCTTGTCGTACTTGAGAATAAAGGAAGTTTTGAGACTCAGGCCAGGCTCACGTCAAAGGGACCCATGAGCCAATTTGTGAAGATTCCTGTTAGCCACGATGAAATGTCAGCTGTAAAATGAATATCGACTGCAAGGGATTGACGCACATCAGATATATAAAACCCAAGAATTCATAATGATGCCAAAAGATAAAATCCCTGGGGTGCCTGGGGGGCTCAGCCGATTGAACGTCCGACTTCGGCTCAGGTCATGATCTCACGGTTCATGGGTTCAAGGCCCGCGTCGGGCTCTGTGCTGACAGCTCGGAGCCTGGAGCCTGCTTTGGATTCTGTGTCTCCCTCTCTCTCTGCCCCTCCCCCACTTGCACCTTGTCTCTCTCTCATAAATAAATAAACATTAGGGGCGCCTGGGTGGCGCAGTCGGTTAAGCGTCCGACTTCAGCCAGGCCACGATCTCGCGGTCCGTGAGCTCGAGCCCCGCGTCAGGCTCTGGGCTGATGGCTCAGAGCCTGGAGCCTGCTTCCAATTCTGTGTCTCCCTCTCTCTCTGCCCCTCCCCCGTTCATGCTCTGTCTCTCTCTGTCCCAAAAATAAATAAAAGTTGAAAAAAAAATAAAAAAAAAATAAACATTAAAACAAATTCTTTTTTTTTTTTTAATTTTTAAGGGGCACGTGGGTGGATCAGTCAGTTGAGTGTCCGACTTCAGCTCCAGTCATGATCTCACAGTCTGTGACTTCGAGCCCCGCGTTAGGCTCTGTGCTGACAGCTCAGAGCCTGGAGCCTGCTTCGGATTCTGTGTCTCCCTCTCTCTCTGCCCCTCCCCTGCTCATGCTCTGTCTCTCTCTCTCTCTCTCTCTCTCTCTCTCAAAAATGAATAAACATTTTTTTAAAAAATCCATGGGCGGGGCGCCTGGGTGGCGCAGTCGGTTAAGCGTCCGACTTCAGCCAGGTCACGATCTCGCGGTCCGTGAGTTCGAGCCCCGCGTCGGGCTCTGGGCTGACGGCTCAGAGCCTGGAGCCTGTTTCTGATTCTGTGTCTCCCTCTCTCTCTGCCCCTCCCCCGTTCATGCTCTGTCTCTCTCTGTCCCAAAAAAATAAATAAATGTTAAAAAAAAATTAAAAAAAAAAAAATCCATGGGCACCTGGGTGGCCTCGGTCGGTTGAGCGTCCGACTGTTGATTTTGGCTCAAGTCATGATCCCAGGGTCATAGGATTGAGCCCCACATTGGGCTCTGTGCTGAGCATGAAGCCCGCTTGGGATTCTCTCTCTCTCTGCCCCTCCCCTGCTTGTGTGCACCCTCTCTCACTCTAAAATAAAAAAATAAAAAATGAAATAAACAAAATAAGGTCCCTGGTCACCCTTGGGCATTGATGGGGCAGCAACTCACAGTTGTGAGAATTAATAGGGTCTAGTGGGTCCTGTCAGTGTCCACCTGTGTCCCCTTAGTGGCCACCCTGACAAGACAAAGGCTGCTGATTGCCCGAGGACTTTTTCTGAGCGTGCCGGTACGTTTGGTCCAAGTCATACGTGCGTGGGAGTTGGTGCCCTGGAAACAGGCCTCAGCCAGTGACAGAGAGAGAGTTGGTAGACTAGAGCCCTGGTCCCCCTCAGGTGGGGACACCGTGAGGCAAGTTCCCCCGTCCCCCCTCACTCCCAGCAGCTTTGGGCTCCAGCTGTCCACAGTCATCACCTGCTCCTGTTTTTTGGGTCATTTACTCAATTTATGGGATTCCTTCCCTTCCCTGTCTCACTGTCCTATTAGATCTGGGAATTCAGGGCGCCCAGGTGGCTCAGTCAGTGAAGCGTCCGACCTCGGCTCAGGTCACGATCTCAGAGTTCATTGGTTCAAGCTCTGCGTCCGGCTCTGTGCTGACAGCTCGGAGCCTGGAACCTGCTTCGGATTCTGTGTGTCCCTTGCCCACTCGCACTTTGTCTCTTTTGCTCTCTCTCTCTCAAAAAGCAAATACACATGAAAAAAAAAAAAAGATCTGGGAATTCAGAGCCACCAAGTCATGAGCACGCGTGGGTGAATGTTTGTGCTGGGGCGTGAGTGCGTTCAGAGAGCACAAGCAAGCCTGCCTCCCACGTGCTTGGTCTGTGTCGTACCCGTGACTCTCTCTCAGCTCATCCAGAGCGTCGCGGGGCATCTCTGTGACCAGGCTTCAGAGGAGGAAGAAGTCCAGGCCTGCTTCGTGGATGGGTCGCTTTGATGCCCTGACGGGAGCTGATGGGGAGGAGGCTCCGCACGCTGGCCACGCTGGTTTGCAGGGGGGAGAGGTGGCTCAGGGGAGGGGCAGAGAGAGGGAGACACAGAATCCAAAGTAGGCTCCAGGCTCCTAGCTGTCAGCACAGAGCCCGATGTGGGGCTTGAACTCAGGAGCTGTGAGATCAGCACCTGATCCGAAGTCGAATACTTGACCGACTGGGCCCCCTAGGCGCCCCGGATTATGCACAACCTGGATACGGATTTGCCTCCCTGCCCAAGTGCCTTGGCCAGCACCTGTATCCAAGGACATAAAGGAAACGATTTATCCCTATGAGATCCCATAGTATCACCTCTAACCAAGGGGATCCACTTTATAGTGAAGGAAAGTGACGAGGACACAAGAGCATGGCATCCGTTTGCCCCTCGGCGTACCAGCCAGGTGAGGTGGCAGGGGACGTCCGTGTGGCCTCTTTACAGCACGTCTAAGTACCAGCTTGGGGAAGACATCCTCTGGGATTGGGTCCCGGACGTCAACATGCAGTATCCGTTTTGAGCCAATGGCCATTCTATGGCGCCATATGCCAGACGGCTGGGAATCGTGGGAAACAAGAAGGAAGCAGGAACAATCCTGTCAGCATCAGCCCCGGTGGCCCAGCTGGGGGGGGGGGGTGTCTGTGCTTCTGTTCCCGTACATTTAGGCCTTGAGGGATCAGAAGCCCTAGCTCCTAGGGTGGGAGGTGGGTTGGCCAGCAGCCTCTGGTTCCTTTGGGCAGCTCACTGCCAACTGACCCACGGGCCAAGAAGAGAATTCTAGCGCCAACGACACTTGCTCCTGACCGTCCCCTGTCCGGTGGTCATCGTGAGCAGGCAGTTGCCACAACGTTGGCCCGTCAGGCGCGTGGTGATGAAAGGCCCTGGGGGGTGAGGGTCTGGGTTCTCCTGTGAAAGCCCCACAGACCAACGGACGAACCGTGGAGGAAGGCGAGGCGGGCTGCTGGGGACAGCCCCGGAGCCGACGCCAGCTGTGGCCTCCCCAAGGTGCCCCGCTCACCCTCCTGCCGTGACTTTCCTTCCTAGGACTAGAAATTGCGCCCAGCCGCCGCCTTGAAGAGTCGGTGACAGGACAGAGCGAATATGGGGACACAGGGTGGACAGAGGCTGTGACCCCATCCTCCGCTTCATCTCCACAGCCAGGAGGCTTCTCCGTCGCCTCTGCGACTCTGCCCGAGGGCGTGTCTGTGCTCAGGGCTCCCAGAAGCGGCCATCGACTTTCAGACAGGACGGTGACGAGTATGACCCTACTGTCTTTGCCCTGTTCTGCTTCACACCCTTCCCTGCCTCCCCCCCCCAACCTCCTCTCCAGTTCTCTACCTCTCAGCATGACCCTCCCCCCAATAAATTGCTCCTACTCAAAGCCTTGCCTCAACATCTGGCTTGGGGAAGCCCTCTGGTCTTAGTTCAGGCTGCTGTAACACGTCACCACAGGGGCACCTGGGTGGCGCAGTCGGTTGAGCATCCGACTCTTGATTTCAGCTCAGGTCACGATCCCAGGGTCGTGGGATCGAGTCCCGCCTTGGGCTCTGTGCTGAGTGTGGAGGCTGCTCAGGATTCTGTCTCTCTCTCCCTCTGCCCCTCTCCCCGGCTCGTGCTCTCTCTCTCTAAAATAAAAACATAAAATAAACCAATCACCACAGACTGGATGGTTTCAACAACAGACATTTTGCTCCTGTCAGCACTGGAGGCCGGCAGATCTGTGTCTGGTGAGGGTCCCTCACTTTCTCATTGGTTTGGTGGGGGGGGGGGGGGCAGGGGGGGCGGGGTGGTGGCAGGAGAGAAGCCAGCTGCCCCAGACCTCTCTGATAAGGGCACCAGCTTCATCCTGGGACTACCTCCTAAAGGCGCCGCGTCCAAAACCATCACCCTGGGGATCGGGCTTTAACACAGGACTCGGGGAGGCGGTGCAAACATTCACGCCGTAGCACCTGTCCCATTAATCCTACCTTCCCTGAGTGCTTCTAAGCCAGGGTAACAATAATCGACAAGGGAAACTCTTCTTTAGAGACAATTCACAGCTAATAACAAAGGAAGGAGAAATGACACAACTGGAGGGTCTCTGTTTGGGGCTCCTAACGATTGATAGGTCTAGACAATGGTCATCAGCAGCCATTAGACTAGAAGGCGATGGACCTAGAGGGCTGCATGGCGGCCACAAAAAGATACGTCCGCATCCTAATCCCTGAAGCCCCGAGAATGTTAACTTGTTTGGAAAAAGGGTCTGTGTGGATGTAACTCATTACATGAATTCATTCCCGAAATTCAGTTGACGGTTTTGAGATGAGATCACCCTGGATTAGCAGGTGGGGTAAATCCAGTGACAAGTGTCCTCGCGAGAGACAGATAAAGAGGAGACAGACACTTGAAAAGGATGAGGCAACGTGACCTCAGAGGCAGAGACGGGAGCTGTGCAGCCGGAGAAGCCAACAAGGGCCGCCTGCCACCAGGAGATGGAAGGGGCAAGAACATTCTCCCGAGTCTGCAGAGGGAGGACGTCACCCCCGGTGTGGACGTCCGGCCTCCAGAACCGCAGAACACATTCCCGGGGCGCCTGGGTGGCTCAGTCCGTTAAGCGTCCGACTCTTAATCTCGGCCCAGGTCATGATGTCACGGTGCGTGGGTTCGAGCCCCACATCGGGTTCTGCACTGGCGCTGTGGAACCCGCTTGGGATTCTGTCTCCCTCTCTCTCTGCCCCTCCCCTGCACATTCTCTCTTTCTCTCAAAATAAATATTAAAAAAGAAAGAATACATTTCTGTTGTCTTAAGCCACCACGTTTGTGGTACTTTGTTACAGCGGCCGTAGGCACCTAACGCAGCAAGGAGCTTTATAATGAATGGACCAGGCTGAAATTACCAGAACTTCCTGATCAACCACGGCATCGACAACCAGACACCGCGTGCCTCCTGATGGGATACACGGTACTACTTCTGAAATATTCCTGGGAAAAAAAGAATGTATGTTTAAATATTTTTAAAGAATATTTTGTTTATTTGAGAGAGACAGAGACAGCACAAGGGGGGGAGGGGCAGAGAGAGAAAGAGAGAGAGAGAGAGAGAGAGAACCCCAGGCCGGCTCTGCACTGTCAGTGCGGAACCCCACGCGGGGCCCAAACCCACGAAACCGTGAGATCAGGATCTGAATCGGAACCAAGAGTCATATGCTCAACTAACTGAGCCACCCAGGTGCCCCTAAAAATAAATGTATGTTTAATCAAACTTCTAAATATAATTAGAGGGGACAGAGGACCACGTGAATTGTCACGACAGGGACACACTCAACTGAATCTAGAACATGGGAAACTTGACAGGGAAATAGCCCAGTTTCTTTTAATATTCTTTTTTTTTAATGTTTATTTATTTTTTTGAGAGAGAGAGACAGAGAGACAGAGCATGAGCAGGGGAGGGGCAGAGAGAGAGGGAGACACAGAATCCGAAGCAGGCTCCAGGCTCCGGCTGTCGGCACAGAGCCCAATATCGAGCTCGAACCCACGAGCCCTGAGATCATGACCTGAGCCACCCAGGTGTCCTAAGTATGGTTCTTTTTCAAAGTCATCCTACGTTAGAAATACATAGTGAACACGTACAGGTGATTTGCTTTGAAATACTCTAGCAGACATGAACACAAGTGAGGGAATTTGTGGAACAGGAAAGAATTTGGGGATGGTCAAGCCAGATGATGAAGGGTTCCAATGTTCTATTTTTCGTGTATGTTTGAAGTTCTCAAAAAAAAAAAAAAAAAAGTAGCAGCAGCACGGAGAGTAGTTGTAGAAATGAGCGGTCATGGGTATGCGTTTTCCGCGCGGGAAAGGACAAAGCGGTGCTGGGCCCAGCGTCTTGGCTTTCTGACTCCATGACAGGCCAGAACTTAGAAAAGCCAGAAGGGCCCTGGAGGAGTGGATGACTGCTAGCATGTTCCAGAATCTAGGCTGCCCTCCCGGGTGCTGGTGGTGAGGCTGCTGCCAGGTGCTGAACAATTAATTAGTTGCAATTTTACTTCTAGGCCCGAGTAGGGTTGCTCTCTCCTGCCCCCTTGTGGTTGAGCGAGGTCTGTAACTAGTTCTAGACCAACAGCTGTGAACAGAAAGGGACAGGTAGGTGTCTCTCTGGGCGGCGGTGGCTAATTGCAGAGACAAGACCCTCCAGAGCTCTTTCTATCTTCTCCTCCTGGTGTGGGGACTGGCGGCATTTGAGACAGTGGCGGCTCTAGCAGCCTGGGTCCCTGAATAAGAAAATGAGAAGAGCCCCCTTGTTTGACCACCATGCACAGGTAGCCTAAGGGAGAAATGATCTTAAGTCCCTGATACTCGGAGGTCGTTTGTTACCGCAGCATAACCGAGCTCCTCCTGGTGAACACAGCACCATACAGCAACCAGTCCTACAGGCTACCTGGTAAGAACCTGAATAATTGCTGCGGTTGTTCTGTTACTGTTAGTACTCTTGTAATAACAACCGTCCATCATCACAGGTACCATTTACTGAGCACCTCTATGTGCCCCCAGGACGTGCCACCCGTCGTCTCAATTACCGATCCCGGCACACCCTGGAGGCAGATCTTCCTGCCCCGTGACCAAGATCAGAAAAGCAAAGCTTAGGAACTGCCACAAACATTCCACTTGCTGTCTGAGAGTCATCGAAGATGCCGTTCATTTGATCATTTGTTGTCCTTTATATAAAACCCCATGAGATGACGTCCCTTTAACAATTACAGCCAAGAACCCTCCTGGAAAGCAGTTTTACAACATATATATCAAGCACCATTAGAAAGTTCATACCCTTTGCTCCAGTGGTTAGTCACTAGCCCAAGCTTGTTGCGGTGCAGTTAGATTGCTTGAACAGTAAAATGAATAAACAAACGAATTAGGCAATTAATTAAAATAGTATACATATTAAAGAAAAACGAATTAATGAGAGTTGAGCTTGTGTCTTGAGTTCCCGGTCTGTTTCCTGCAGCCGGATGTTAAGAATGCTCCCGGTCCAGCTCCCCGCTTTGCCTCGCGGCTGCCGGACACACAGTCCCCTTAAGGCTCAGCCCGGCATGTGGCTGGTGGCCTTAGCTGGTGCTGGTGTTGGCCGCCTCCTCCCCGAGCACGGTCAGCTTCCCGTCGGCGGAACAACGCTACGAGTTTCCTACACAGGGTCGGAGACTGGCAGGATACAAACACATTGTGAAATATGTGTAGGCTCATCTTTGCTCGTTCCGTGGTGCCCAGCGGGCAGGCCTGCGGGTTTGGAGCGCTCGGGCAGAGCTGAACCACAGTCTCCGGTGGGTGCGTGGCGCCCCCGCGTGGCGCCCGGCGCAACAGCACCCCGCGTTCTCCCGCGTCGTCCCCGGGTTCTGCCGCCCGCGGTGCCCGCAGTCCCCCTCGACCTTTGGGGCCCCCTCCTCGCGACCCCCGTCGTCCGGCAGGCTCGCTCCCAGCGGCAGGGGCCCCACCTCTGACTGTCTCCCCGGGAGCGTGGTCGGCCGGATGGGCCCAAGGCCACCCCGTGCCCACCCCCACCCCCGGCCCGCCTCGACACACAAAGTCCTCAAGTTACTTAACTGCTGTGGACAGAAGTGGGTTAATGCCCCGGGCGCTCGCCCTCCCCCAGCAGCGACCGCGGGAGCGCGCGAACGGCCGCCGGTCCGGGTGCGAGCGTCCGGGGGGGGGGGGTCCCCCCCTCTCGCAGGGCGACGCCACCTCCCCTCCCCCGCCCGGCCGGGACCCTAGGACCCCGACCGTGGCAGGCTGCGGGATGGGGGCCGCGGCGGCCCTACTCCGAGTAGCAGTACGTCCCGAAGGCCGCCTGCTGCGCCCGCGGGAAGCCGAAGCTGCGCACGCCGGGGTCGGGGAGGCCCCCGCAGCGCGGCCGCGGCGAAGTGATGGGGAAGCGCACGCTGCCGTCCGCCAGCCAGCCGCCGTCGCACTGGTCCAGCCCCGAGAACTTCCAGGCGGCGTAGAGGTGCCCGACCTTGGCCACCGTGGCCCCGCGCCGCCGGCACGCCGCGTGCGCTTCAGACAGCGTCAGCCGCCCGGGCACGAAGAACACGTGGCCTGGGGAGCGGGGCGCGTCACCCCCTCCGCGGCCGAAGCCTCCCCGGGACCGAGGCCGGGCAGCGGTGGGGGTGCCGAGGCAGGCGCGCGGGAGGCGGGGGCGGGAGCCTGCCCCGCGCAGTGACGCAGGGACCACGCGGGTCCAGGTCCCGCCCCCCGTCCCGCCTCCCTACCCCCCCCCCCCCCCTCCGCCCGCGCGCTCACCTGCAGTCACCGAAGTAAAGCAGAAGGCGTCGTAGCGGTCGCGCTTCCGGTCGCGGGGCCCGTAGCTGCGGATCCCGGGCCGCCCCGGGCCACCGCACGGGGCGCGCGCGGTGAGCACGGGGTAGCGCACGGAGCCCTCGAGCAGCCAGCCCGCGTTGCACCAGTCCAGGCCCTCGGTCCACGCTGGCGGGCAGGGGGAGACGGGGCGGGGGTCAGAGGGGTCCCGGCAGGAACCTGACCCGAGCTCGCCCCCCGCGGAGCCGGGTGATAGTCCCGACAGGCCCGGGCGGTGCCCAGGTCGGGCGCTCACCCTGGTACAGCTGGGCGTAGGTGGCCAGACGCCCGTCCTGCTCCTCGCACGCCTGTTTCGCCTCGTAGTAATTGAACTGGTACCGGCCCCGGCTGGGCTGGTACGGGAACACCACACCTGGGGGGGGACGCCGACAGCCTGAGGAGGGCCGGCAGACGGGGGAGAGGGCTGGGGGACCCCGGGAGACCCGAGCTGGGGCGGCCAAAGCCCCACAGGAGAAGAGGGGGGCGGGAACCCAAGGGCCTCACCCTCCAGGCGCAGGGTCAGCGCCACGCTCTCGTCCTCGATGCCGTTGATGAGTTCACAGCGGTACCTGCCCTCGTCCTCCAGGCGCACGTCCGCGATGACCAGGGAGGCGTCCAGCCGATGCCCCCTCCGCATCCTGGCGCGCCCCCCCAGGGGCCCGTAGCCCCGGGCGTGCAGGCCGTTGGTGATGAGGATCAGCGTTTCCCGGAGCTCCCCGGGCTCCACTTTGCTCCAGCGGACCTTGTAGCTGGGAGGCGGGGCGCCCAGGACGCAAGGCAGCGTGGCCGTGGCCCCACGACGAGAGTGAATGACCTCGTGGATGGGGGGCAGGAGGTAGTGGGGGCCGGGGTGGGGTGCTGAGCAGAGGGGGCCACAGTGGCAGGAACCCCCTGACCCCCACTGCAGGTGCCCGTCCAGACGCTGCTCCCCAGCCCCCCCCCCCCCCCCCACTGCGCACTCAGCAAAGGCTCTCACTCCCTGAACACCTCCGACGGCTGCCCTATCCACTTTACCCACCCCTGGAGCCGCTCCCCCACCTTCCCCAGAGTCTGGGCGGGGCTGAGGTCTTACCTAGGTCCCCCAGCGCTTTGTGGAAGATGGCGAGGGCCCAGGGGAGAAGGAAGTGGCAGAATGTTGGGAGACTAAGCAGGCCTGGCATGATGGAGAGTCAGCCCAGCGCCGTCTGCGGGGCACAAAGCGGGGAGGCAGTGGGGTTGGAGATGAGCTCCCATCTATCAGGGATCCCTGAGGGGTCCGGCTGGAAGGCGTGAGGGCAGAGAAGGGGGCTGTTGGGGGCAAACCGCCTCCCCTCCCCCTCCCCTCCCAGGGGCCATCCCATCTGGGTCCTGAAACCCGGATTGCCTGGCCGGATTGCCGCCGCCGTCTCTCTCCTCTCCCAACGCTACCCGCCAGCGGAGCCAGAGTGATCAACGAAACCTTGTCACTCTCCTGCTTAAAGCAGTAGCTCCCTTTGCCCCGAGGATACAGTCTGGTCTGCTAGCCAGGGCTTCCAAGGCCCCCTGGGATCCAGCCTCTCACTGTGCCTTCAATGTCGCCTCCCACCCGCTGTGCCCTCTGCACAGTCTTCCAGATACTTCTGGCTCCAAAAGTGCCCAGATTCACTCTCACCTGGTTCTCCCAGGCGTCACTGCGGGCCAAACCGCCTCTGGGAAAACCTTCCTCTTCCCCGGCCCGCGGCAGTGCACTGTGGCCTACCACACTGGCCTGGACGCTTGGTCTTAGAAGGACTTTTATTAGCCACTGAATTAACTGTGTGAATTTTAATACATATGCGCGTGTAGGCCGTATCAGTGAGGTTTCAGGCAATTACAAAATTATAAAAACTAATTCCAAACACAATTGTCTATTTCAATGTCGATTTTCCCCTTCTTTTTAAAAAAATGTATTTGACTTTAGTAAGTAGGCTCTACCCCCAACGTGGGGCTAGCACTCACGACCCTGAGACCAAGCGTCAATGCTCGGCCAACTGAGCCAGCCAGGGGCCCCAGTTCCCCCCCTGCCTTATTCTATCTGTTCTTTATCACCTTGACCATTTTTTAGAAGTTGGACTAAGGACCCCTTAGCCTAGCTTGACTCATTTTCTAAACCTGATTCCTCCAAGTGCTAACTGCGTGACTCTGAACGAGTTCTTTAACTTCTCTCGGCCTCAAAGTCCTCATCAGTAAAATGCGGGTAGTAATTCCCATCGACCTCACTGAAGTAACGTGTACAGTGCTCAAAATCGTGTCTGGTATGCAGTAAGCGCCATGTATGTGTTAGCTATTATCCGCAGCATCCAGCCTCGCTTCTGGCACACAGTGGGTGCTACATAAGTGTGTGTGTTAGTGAATGAGCCCACACGAAGGATTCTGGGAAGGAGAGGCGGCCGGGAGGGAGAAGGAGGAGACAGAGCTGGAGTCGGAAGAGGTGGAGCCGAGCCCCTCCTCCTCCTGCAAACGAAGGCCTTGGCCGCGGGAGAAACGGGGGCCGGGCACGCAGGGCCTCGCGGCGGTTGGAGGGCAAGTGCGTGGGCCGGGGACGCGCCCAGGGCGGGAGGGCCGCGTGGGCCGAGGGCGAGTGGGAAGCCACGCCGACGCACCTGCGTGAGAGCGCGCCCGGCCCTCCCCTCGTACGTACGAATCCCCTTTTACGCATGCTCAGACAAAGGGCACAAATTCTAGGAGACTTGAGGGAGGTTGCACAGTTGGTAAGAGGAGGGTTTGCTGGGATTTGAACGCGTATTTGAGGTCAGGCGCAAGCCCACCGGTCTGTACTTCGAAAGCAGGCGCACACATACCCTCTTCGTACCCCTTACAGAGAACCAGAGAGCCGGCAGCCCCAGTTGCCTACCTGTTAGAAGCCGCTCTCTTCACAGGGACGGGAGCGACAGGGACTGGCGGCGTCTTGTCCTGCTCCAGGAAGAGGTTCCAGTGAAGGCGCTGCCTGGGCCCCTGCGAGATCCAAGCACTTCAGGGCCCTGGGACTTGGGCGCCTGATCAGCGGGGTCCCTCCTCTTGCACCTTTGAGGAAAGGCTTCTGCCCTGAGCTCGCAGAAGCAGCCAAGGTGCCGAGAGCTTTTTTCCCCTCGCCACTCCACTAAGCCAGGCTAAGTGACCTGTGTCCAGCCCGTGACTCGGCACTGTATGAGCACTGCTCACTGTCCTGGGCCTGGGGAAGATGCGGCGCTTGGGGCCAGGGGTGGGGACCCCCAAAGGGATGCAGTAAAGGAGGCACCCGGGAAGGATGACCTGGAAGAACGTGGAGGAGGTGGTGCCTCGTTTCTTCCTGGGGCTCGAGGGCCAGAGAAGGAGCAGACGGGTATGAAGACGCTGGCCGCTGGGTGTGCGGACGAGCTACAGGTGAGCTCGAGGACCTGTGGCCAAGCCCCGGCTGTCTCCGGTTTTCCCCGAGGGCCTCCTCCAAGCAGCACCCTCCCCTCCCCAACCAGTCCTCACCTCTGTCCTCCGGAGCCTGGGTGCGCATTGCCTGTGGGAGGAGGCTCTCAGGGTGGGACCCAGACTTCCAGGACCTCCAGCTGCTTCAAGAAACCTGACCCCTTCTGTCCAGCCCCCTGTCTGTCCGTCTGTCTGTTCTTTCCCGCTCCGTCCCCACCCCATCGGAAGCACAAGTTCCCATTGTCTCTGTCTTTCCCCCTATTGTTGAATAACAGGGGCCCTTTCTTTATCCTGTGGGCAAGGGCATCGAAATGTCAACAGCTGGGGATGTGGGATGCGGGACCGGCTGGCACACAGCACCGGAAAAAGGGCCGGGGTAGGGGCAGGCTCAGAACAGGACTGGACATCCCCAGGGAGAGGGGAGTGGGGGCGGGGAGAGCGGTTGGTGAGAAGGTTGAAAGGGGGGGGGGGTCCCCTCCACGCCAGGCTTCAAGCCTCGGGAGAGATGTGGTGTGAGGCCAGGGGTGGCGGGGCCCCGTGGAGGGCAGAACGCGTGGTGGGAATAGCACTGGGAGCGAAGGCAGGAGGGCTTCTTGCGCCCGGGAGGGTAACGGGAGTTTCCGAGAAGGACTTCGGAGAGCTCTCCAAAAGAGGGGTCGGTTTATTTGTCCCGCCTCCTCCTAGTGCCAGTGCTCTGGAGAAGGGAGGTCCTCGACCTCCCTGGGAGGACATACGCTTCTCCACAGCGCCCCCTGGAGTCTAAGCGGCTGGAGTTCACACGCCCAGTCCGGACCTTTCTGTCGAGGGACAATCTGCCTCCGACAAGCAGCAGGGACCTCCAGTGGACAGCTCACTGCACTTACCAGTATACACGCCACGGAACTAAGCCCCGGATCAGCATATAGAACGTTTCAACGCCCAGGATACGCCTGTTTCTTTTTTGTTTGCTGTCAGGGCAGAGGGAGGACTCTCTCCGGGAATAGCCATTTGGGAAGGTTCCAGCTTCCGGTCCCTCTTAGCCTTACTTTCTGTCTGCCCGGCAACCCCACATCAGTAGCTTTGCGTTATTGGGATCGCGCGCTTTTTGGAACCGGAGGGGACCTCAGGACGCCCAGCTTCTTCAGTCACCGGCCAAGAGGACCTGGTGAGAGAGGGCCTTGCCCAAGCCCGCACGGAAGGCAGCTGTGGAGGCTGGGACTGGCTGCTGTTCCCGCCAATCCCTCTTCGGAGCCTCAGTCGGGTTCTCCGAGTCCGCGGGCTGCGGGCTTTTCCGCTGGGGCCGCATCTCCTAACAGGGAGCCCACGCCACCTGCTCCCTTCAGGGCTTTGGAGGACAGTCTCCACGTCCTGCATCACCATCCCCGTCCCGAGCCCTTCCCTCCTCCTCCCAGAGGAAAAGGACAAACGGCCCCTGTCTCGGGCCGAGGACACCCGGATCCGATCCCGCGCATCTGACTGGCCAACACCCAACTCAGACAAACCGCCCCCTGCAGCGGCTCGGAGGGGGACACGGCGGCTCTGCCACCGCCCAGGCCCCCCCGGCCTGCCCTCCCGCCTCCCCAGATTGCTTCTGAACCGTGGTTTGCAAGTCTCAGGTGTGTGGACCCACAAGAGGCTGAGTTTGGCAGGGAAGAAGGCCTGGAAACAGTTGATGGAGGCAGAAAGAGCCCTTTGAGGATGGAGCTGGGGAAGGGATGGCCCCGGAAGAAATGTGCAGTGAGCCAGACTGCACTCCCTTTGCCTGAGGTCCTCTCACCCCCGGTCCTCAGTCTGCCAGACACTCAGCAGACCGGGAGGGTTGGCTGCTGGGCTCGCTCTTCTGGGTGGAGGTCTTTGCCACCCGCTGCTGCAGACTCAGCAAGGTGACGGGAACGAGCCCGCACAAGCCCTGACTTCTCTTCCTCGAGCACCCAGACCTGGCGTCAGGCAGCCGGCGACCAGCTTCTTGATCCCTGCTGCGCACAAGCAGGTCCCGTTGACTGTTGCATGAGGGATTAGGACAGTTGGCAAGGCAGCCCTTTAGGCGGTTGCAGGGAGAGGCTGTGGGTGACTGGCAGGACCCCCTCTCCTTCCAGCGAGGTTCACACACAGCTGCCTCCCTCCTCCACCCAGCGAGCCCCAGGCCACGCTTCTCTCTGGCCCAGGCGGAGCCTCCTGGGGGGCTGGATCCCTGCATCCCCGTGGGAGGAGGTAGGGGGGAGGCTGGGGACGCGTCAGTCTTCAGGAAAAGGCACTTTTTCCACTCAGGACCGCTGCCTCCCACTCTCTGTACTTCCGTCTGTCTGCAGAGCGTGAGGACGTCACCTCCGTGCCTCAGAGGCCCCACGGAGCCTTGGCAGGAAACTGTTCCTCATCTCGGTGGCCCGGCCCCACCTGGACGTCCTGGACGGAGCTCAGTCTCTTGAGCCCTTTTAAAGCTTGGGGCTCCTGAGAAGTGGGCGTCTCGGTGCCCACTTCAGTAGGACCGGGACCTCGAAACCGGGACTGACCGTGTCCAGGGGGAGGACTTGGCTGGCCGCATGGGCAGCTCCTGCCTGGCTCGGCAAAGTCTCAAGGGAATGGAATGGGGGTGTCACCTGGTGCTCACCCAACCTGGCCAGTGTTCCAGTCCATCAACCCTGTCTATTCTGAGGGCCTGCTGGCGGGCAGGGGGAGCTCCTCCTGTGCGGGAACCTTCTCACGGCACCAGAGGGCTGTCAGAGGAGAGCGGACAGAGCCTTAGAAGGCATGGCTGTCCCTGGCCTTTCCCTGAGGGACGAAAGGCAGCAGTGCTCAACTCAGCATTCTGCTCAATTCGACCCCTCACCTGGATTCCGCTCCTGGCCACGGATGTACCCACCAGCTAGACAGACACCTGCCCTGTGTGTGCAGGACAGAGCTCCAGGGTCCAAACGTTACAGCCACGGGGCACGGTTGAGCCTGCATCTGAGCCGGCCTTGGGTACCGGTCATGATTCTGCTGCAGGCTGTGTGTCCCAGGGGCGTGGCCTCTTCACTGGGCCTGTGTCCTCACCTGAACAACGGGACTGCGGTCCATTTAAACTATTTTCTGGGGGCGCCCGGGGGGCTCAGTCGGTTCAGCGTCTGACTTGATTTCAGCTCAGGTCATGATCTCGTGGTTTGTGGGATCAAGCCCCGTGTCAGGCTCCAGGCTCACAGCCTGGAACCTGCTTGGGATTCACTCTCTTCCTCTCTCTCTGCTCCTCCCCAGCTCTCTCTCTCTCTCTCTCTGTCTCTCTCTCTGTGTCTTTCTCTCAAAACGAATAAACAAACGTTAAAAATAAAATGACAATTTTCTGAAGGGCCTCAGTGTGCAGAGAACGCTAACGGATGGAAGTTCCCAGTCCGGGGGTGATGTCTGGTGGAGGTGAGGGTAAGATCAAATGGCAGGAAGCACAGAGAACAGTAAAAGACAAACGTCTAGAAGGTATTTTCATGGTGGCAAAGATTTGACAATTATATTTTACTTTTTATTTTTATTTTTACATTTATTTTTTATTTTTTGAGAGACAGAGAGAGAGACAGAGCACAAGCTGGGGAGGGGCAGAGAGGGAGGGAGACACAGAATCCAAAGCAGGCTCCAGGCTCCAGGCTCCGAGCTGTCGGCAGAGCCCGACACGGAGCTTGAACTCACAAACCATGAGGTCATGACCTGAGCCGAAGTCGGACGCTTAACCGGCTGAGCCACCCAGGTGCCCCCTACAATTATATTTTACTTTTTAAAAGTCATGTCACCTGTCATTCTGTTAGTTAACAGTCTGTTCGCCATTGTGTTCAAGGGGGGGCATTTATTTATTTATTTATTTATTATGTTTATTTGTTTATTTTTGAGAGGGGGAGGGGCAGAGAGAGAGAGGGAGAATCCCAAGCAGGCTCCACGCTGTCATCACAGAGCCCGACACAGGGCTCGATCCCACAAACCGTGAGATCGTGACCCGAGCCGAAATCAAGAGTCAAACGCTCAGCCGACTGAGCCACCCAGGCGCCCCACGAGTGGACCATTGAAACTGTGTTTCTGTTCAACTACCTCCTGCATATACCTTGAGACCCCGACTCCCAATTCATCAGCCGTTCTCATGGTGCGGGGCCTGGGGCTCTCCCACACCCCTGCTTGTGCTCTCTGCCCAGCTGGTCGAGGCTAGGTCCCCCTGCACTGTGTGCAGACCCCCCACCCCCAGGCTCCCGTGGATCAAACTGAAACCCAGAAGGACGTACCCATCTACCATTCTCAGACCAGAATTTGAATAATTTACAGAGTGAGCCCCATCCCAGAGCTCCCATCCTTTCCCACGGGAGATACACTGTCACAGCATCATTCCCGTCTCGTGGACACAGAAACCAGTGTCCAGAGAAGGTTAGTAACTTGTTCGAGGTCATCTAGCCACTAGGTAACCCAGGTAGCTTATGTCCAAAGCTGGAGGGGTTCCTCCCTTCTGCGACGGAATAATTCCTCCAAACTCGGAAAAGGTAAACGGACAAGTGCTTGTTCCGGGTGGCTTTTTGGTATCCCTTGAGCATCGTCTAAAAGCTTGCTTGACAGCCACCGGACTCGCCTGGAGAATGTACCTTTGTTGTTAGTCTACTTGATAAACGGTCCACAACCAGACATTTACGGTTCCGTCCTATTGGTGGTTAACCCGCAGAAGTGGATAAAGTAATCGGCTGTTGTTGCCCAATACAGAAGCTAACCATCAAAGTGTTTCAGTTTGGTTGCCTTAGAAAGTCGACCAGTCTCATATGTAAATTAGTAATCTTACTTTGAGATTCCTTTTTTGCCTTGTTCCCTCATTAATGAGTTAAATCAATGTTTGTTTTTTAAGTTATTTTTAAGTTTATTTGAGAGAGAGAGAGAGAGAGAAAGAGCAGGGAAGGGGCAGAGAGGGAGAGAGAGAATCCCAAGCAGGCTCCATGCTGCCAGCATAGAGCCCAATGGAGGGCTTGAACTCACAAACAGTGAGATCAAGACCTGAGCCAAAACCAAGAGTTGGACCCTCAAGCGACTGAGCCACCCCGGTGCCCCTACATGTTCTTATTTTCTTTTTATTTTTTTATTTTTGAGAGAGACGGAGTGTGAGTGGGGGAGGGGCAGAGAGAGGGAGACAGAATCAGAAGCGGAAGCAGCCTGGCTCCAGGCTCTGAGCCCTCAGCACAGAGCCCTGCGGGCTCGAACCCACCAACCGTGAGA